TTGTCCTTTAATTGGAAAAAACTCCCTTGTCCCCTAGCGGGTGCGGAAAAAGGAGGTGTGACAACATTAATAGAATATAGCGAGACCGTGAATACAATGAAATACATAGAATACAGCGGGATACATTGAAATACAATTAAAAAACGAAAATGAATACAATGAAATATATATAATACAACGAGATACATTGAAATATAATGAAAAAAAAGACAATGAATACAATGAAATACAGCAAGATATATTGAAATATATTAACAGAAAATTCAAGTTGCTCAGCCCCAACTCCGTCGTGTTTGTCCCCTCCGGTGAATCTGTGGCGGCCTAAGAGGAGAATTGGTTCGAAAGATTTGTAACGGAAGACTTTAGGCTGGACTAACTCGATCGGAACGCCGTTGATTTTGATGAGGCCTTTCCCGTGTTTGCAGTGGGTTACTGCTACAGCCGTCTTCTTCCACCCGAAATATTAAACTGATTCTGCCGCTGCCGGAGCCGTTGTTGGTGCTGCCATGTTCTTATGCTTTCTCTGGCTTCTACTATATTGGAGAGAAACCCTAACCATAAGCCTCTAGGTTTTAAGGGCAAAGAGGGAGAAAATTAGATTAGAGAAATGTTTAGTGGCTATTAGAATTTGATGGGAGAGAGAAAAATAATACAAAGCTTATTTTTTAGCTTAAGGGTAGGAGGTGACTATAAATAAATATTTGGTTATAAAAAATCAAAAGGTAGCTATGAAATATAAATTTTTAAAAGGGTATTTATTTAAAATAAATAAGGTATATATGATGTAACTATCCTTCTTTTAATCATTAAAATGTTAAAAAAAGGGAAACTTACACAAATGTCCCAAATAAATCTCAACTTAGCAACCTCTGACCATTAGTCATAGACTTACCAAAACTAGCCAACAAAAATTGAAAAACCAAATAATAGGGTTCTTTCTATCAAAGAATCACATGCAAAAATCACCTTTCATATTTTTAAGCGTGATTAGCAGTATTAGATACAAGAGGGAAAGGAAATTTCATGGACGGGATAGCAAATAAGGTGATGAAATACAAAAATCTATACAATATTCCAAAAATCTAAACAAAAAGGAACTTTTTCAATGGGTATAGATGAAATTCATTGAAAATATATAGATAAGTCAATATACAAAATTTGAGGAAGATTGGAGGTGATTTGGACTGGTTTTGTATCAGAATTCGTAATTAAATCGAGTTCAAAAAGTCTTCTGCGACGCATATATCAAACATATATCACGCATGTATCTCACACACAGGTATACATGGATATACATGTGATACACAATTGATACAAATATGATACATATGTGATACACAAATGATACATAGTGTGATACACATATAAAAAATTTTTCATGTTCAGCTTTTACTTCGAATTTTCAATTCAAACCACCTCAAAACTTCACCAAATCATCCCAAAACTGAGATTCAAGCTCCTTAAGTTGCGCCCAATCTATTCTAATAACACTCACTCAAAACAAAGCAAAAATTTGATATTTTTTTGCTACAAATAGCTAATTGGCTAATTTGGCTAATATTAGTAATATTTTATCAATTGGCCAATTTTTGTAATGAGCTACTTATAAATGGACATAGCTGGTAATTTCCCCTAAAAAAAATTAAGGCTTTGAGTTTTCGGGAAATTCAGAGAAAGTAAATTAACTGTTCTAAGTAAGATTATTGCAAAAATTTCCAATAAATCTTGGTCAAAAATCAAAATGTTTAGAAAATTAAAGAAGATGGGAACAATTTTCCTTTCTCGGAATTAATTAGTCCCCTTTTTTTTTGGCTTTGTTATACAAATAGCCGGTCAATTTCACTATTTACTTTTTGTAGTTGATATACATAGATTATACACTGATTAAACATAAAGTATATATTATATATTATATATTCGCTGCTATTTTTACTGTAAGTAATTGAGTGGGCTGCTATTTAGGTTTTTTTTTTTTTTTTTTTTTGGCGTCACAACTCTTATTCATATTTTGTACTTCTATCACCAAGTAAACATCATTGTTGGCGTTTAATACTCAATAATGTTCTACATCCTGTAACTATGCAAAATTTTACGCAACCAATATCAGTTTATTGTCACAATTCGATTTTGGATGAGAATATGGTTGTTTAAGCTCCTGAAGTAGCTTCTTCTTGTTGTTACTTGCATGTAACATTTTTCTTTCTCTTAAATTTCCAATAGTTTTAAGTGAGAGATTTTTTTCATTTAAAGTTATCTCAATTGATGTCTCAAATTCTTTTATATTGCAAGACAAGATGAATATTAACAGAACTATAAATCATATGATCAAGTTTTCTGAGAAACAGAAATTCGACAATCTTAACTCAATTCAAATGCTAATCTTAAGAAATCAAGAAACACCAACTTCAATAAGGTGCATAAATGTAATCAAGAACCAACCGTTCTAATCATCCTAATGTAAAACATATGGTAGTAAAACTTCTGAACAGGTTCCTGATTCGTGCCTAAGAAATTGCTAGACTAAATACAGAAATCATGTACCAGGGGTTCAATCTAGAGATTCCCACATCAATCTACGCGAAAAAGTCATGAAAAATTCTTTGACAAGATCTTCCTCTCTCTTGAATTGCTTGGTGGTTGCGCCCATTCCTCTTCATTAGAACTTAATAAAGCCGCCGCCCAGCCAAAAGGACAAGCTTATATCAGCTTTCAACTCATGACTTCAGTTACACCGTCTTTGGCTTTAACCAGTTCCATCATAATCTCCTTCAAAAAGGGTATAAATTCTAAGTGGCAACACTATTGCTAGGTTTTCTGCATATGCAAAGCAATGAACAAGTCACAAATCAAGATTGAGGTTGTTGTAGAGGTTTTGGAAAGGGTGTGCATGTCCAGGTTTTACATATGTAAGAAGACAAAGGCACCACTTTGCAAGTTTGCTAGCGGCAGGAAATATTCCCAGGATGAAGCTGAAAACAAAAGATATAAATAATAAATAAGAGAATCAGCTCGCGCCAAAAGGTTTCTTATTTACAGCACATGGCAGTAAATGCATCAGAAACTTATTCTCTACACTATCCTACACAGGATCAATATATGGCCTATGGAAGTCGCTCTTTTATCCTGTAGGAAGCAAATTCCCAGTGTAGTTCAAAACCAGTGGTTTCACCTATATCCCAAAATATATCAAAACTAGAAGAGAAGAATCACCAGTATTGAGTTTCTAGAAAATAGATTCATCAAAAAAAAAAAAAGTTTCTAGAAAATAGTAATTTCAAATCAAAGAGAAATGCATAGTGGGAGGTTCTGATGGTGGGAATGGCAGCAGTTGGGCAACCCTCTATCCATTGGCCGCGAAGTTGAGATTTTCTGTCTTCTTTTGACTGAGAGCTTAATTTTGCGTTAATTTCTCTTGAAGATATGAACCACGCCAATTTTAATAACAAGTATAAAGAGCTTAATTTTGCGTTGTCTTGAAAGAGATTGACGCCCTTATGTATACCACCAGAAATTCTGAGGGTTTACAAAGCTAATGACTTAACCGGTCTTCCCACTTAACAGATAGATGTTGCGCATCATGGGCAAAAAAAAAACAAAGAACACACATTCTTTACTGTTTCTAACAAGTGAAGTCCCAACTCAAATGAATTACAGCACTGGAGAAGCACTGAAATTTTTTACTTTACCATTCAAAAAATTAAGAAAGAAATAACAGATGCAACAGAAATTCATAGAGAACTCAACCACCGGGGAATATGAATTTGTTGCACATAAATTGGTTACAATCTCAGAGGATAGACTGCTTCTTACGTTGCTCTGCAACCTACTCAACCTTCCTATATTCAAGGTATGCAATAGGCTATGTTATGCGAAACTCACAAAACTGGAGTTGCATTGAAAATGAGCACATATGCTAAAATTGACAACTTAGAGAGAAAGTATCAATTAAAAAACAAAAATACTTACCCTACTTATAATGTTTACTGTGATTTGAAAGCTCCTGTCTTTTAGCTTCAAGTTCTTTAAGAATTCTACGAACAGCTTGAACTTTTGTAGACATATGTTCACTATGGCTATCCACGTCTTTCATGAGACTAAGGAGCTGCTCTCGGTATGCTGCACTTAGTCGTTTCTTGATCCGAAGTTCTGCTGTTAATTCCTGAATTTTTTTATCTTTCTCGTCCTACAAGAATTACACAAACGGATCAATTTATGACAGTCTCACAAACAAACCTTAGTAATCATTAAATGATTGAATATTACCTCCAAGCACAAATGCCATCCCCTGAAAATTACTAAAAATAACAACAAATACCATACAAAACGATGATAAGGAGAGCGTAATTTAGATTTAAAAAGTGTAAAATGGGAAATCATCAGCGATTGGTTATTGCAGAAGTTGGCTTCAAGTTGCCTGACTGCTTAAAGTTGAAAACGATTTTTATGTAAGTTCTTCAAATACCTATTAGACAATTTGTGCATTGTACCTATCCAACTAATCTCTTGTCAAACTACATCAGTTTACTATGGTACTTAGTCATATATTATGCATAGAAATAACCACCAACTTCCTCTCTATAACTAAACCCTACAAACTAGCAGAATCGATTCTATGAAGGCACTTAATAATCTCACAAGGTTACAGCAACTTTCCTTTCTCCATATCTTCATCTTTTCTTTAACTATAATCATATTTTCACAGTCACTTTCACTTCTTTTGTCCTTACCAAGAAGCATGGGAAGGTGAAAAGTTTTTAAAAATGGAAAAATTAAAAAAAAAAAAAAGGAAAAGTTTGCAGAACAGTGATTAAAGATAAACAAAAAGTGACGAAAGCACCTACATATAGATTTTACAATCACAGATACTCTTATCCATATCACCAGTGACCAAGATGCACCACAATCTCATGTACTTATAAAAATTTTAAGAATCTTTCTCGTGCTATACTGCTGAGAGTCTGAGATTCTCAGTCTGAGACCATTGGCATTTAATATATCTCTTTCTGTGTTAAACTGGATTCGAAGCAAAATAACCGTTGCTTAAGCAGATGAGTAATACCAGAGACGGCACATCCTAAGTCCAATTTTGACAATGCAGACAAAATACTGGTGAAAAATGGGAAGTTTACGATTGTAATGCTACTGCGATAACCTTCGGCAGTCCTTTGAGCATATCAAATCAAGCTTTTTTGAACAGTTGACTTTTACAGGGGCATCCTTATTTGAAAATTTAGAAAAAGAGCTGGGACCTCTTGGATTTTTTTCTCTAAAAGGACTATTAAAGAGATTGGGCAGACAAATCAACAGATTCTTTAACGCCTCGTGCATACAAACAAATACATCTAAAGTGGATATCTCATTGTGGATGCTGAAGATAATTAGCAAAAAAGGAGCCCTAAGACGATAAAAGAGGTTAAGGTAATTGAAACCAAAACTCCTATTACATGTTAATACAAAGGTAAGACTATGAAGCTTACGAAAGTTGGACGTCTCTTGGAAGGTGATATAACCAAGGGATGATTGTGGTCCCTAACAAATTTTCTGACCACCCACATACCGGGCTTCTCTCTTTTGACTAGGATCATTGCCGTACAACCATCACGTCGTCTATCTCGCTTTTGATTTGCAATGCTTCCTGACCTTTGATTATCTGGTATCCCTCTACAACCAAGTCCACGTGATATAATTGACCCATCACGCTCTGACTTGCGAGATGAGAGAACACGGGTTATAAATCCTGCTCGTCCAGCATACTCATCGTAGTATGCTCTGGCAGTTTCTTCAGATTCAAATGGCATACCCTCATATGGTTCTTGAGTTCTGTCAGCTTCAGAAGTACTAACTTGTCCGATTTCAGACGATTCTAACCTTCTAGCACCATTGTCCTCTGAAATTTGCACATCCACTGAGATAACAAACAGGTAAGTGAACATTCAGTTGGCAGGTTTTCTGTGCAAGGATTGACAGGACACAAAAAGAAACAATTTGTGAATTGCAAGGAAGAGAATTGGTCAAAAATAGCTTTGGCAGAATTTTTTTATATTTTATAGGTGGTGTCCGGGCTAGCTTGCGTACACCTAGACTAATTCCACCGGGGACTTGCTAACTCTCACCAGCACACGCATGTAGTAACTTGTTCACCACGCATGGAAGAAAAAACCTAGTATTTTATCCATAGCTTTCGCAGCTATTTTGGTAGAATCAATCAAACAGGATAATGTGTGACAGAATGATGCAACTACTTTTTTCTTCACTGCAAGTTTTCAAACTTAAAAATTGTAAAAGAAAAGGGTGTCGGCATGCAATATACACACAGTAAATCAAATTCATTCAACTGAGATTGGAAGCAAATGCACATTTTTATTTGTACAAACATTAGTAACCTCAAAACCTATAAAATTTAAGCCTGAAACCCCTTTATGTTGTTCCAATCCAACAACAACAGACCTAGTGATGTCCCTAGACCTGTCAAATGGGCCCGGTCGACCCACGAATCGGCCCACGTAACCCATTAAAATTGACCCTTTAACCAGCCTATGACCCACGAAATCCTAACCGGACCAACCCATTAATTTAAGGGGTCTGGGCCGGGCTATAATATTTTGACCCACTGAACCGGACCGGACCGGAACCGGTAGCTGACCCACAGGCCAACCGGTCCGGACCAGCTCACACATATATATATTCAGACAAGTGGTAAAAAATTGAATCCGGACATTGAAGAAAGAATATAGTACCAAACACTATGAGGCGTCATGTCGAAATAGCCGAATTCCATATGATTTAGACACTAGTTATAGTCGGATTCCATATGTTTCTCAAGTCTTAATGTTAATATAGTATGATTTTTCTTTTATTTTTATTCTAACTGGCTCAATGAGATGTAGTAATTTCAAATTTGTATATATGTATAAAGTTTGAAATTTTCATGATTTATTAATTTTTAACTTTTTAAAATTAAGTTAGATTCGGTCCATTAGGGCCCGGGTTAAGGAATTACGGGTTACGGGTCCGGGTTGGGTCAACATGTTTTGATTAATGGGTCAAATCCGGACAGGCCCCTACAAGAAAGTGAACCGGACTGGCCCGATTAAGGACCCACAGGCCAAGAGTCAATGGGTTCGGGTCGGGTCGGGTCGACCCATTTAACAGGTCTAGATGTCCCATAAATGGGGTCTGGGAGGGTAGTGCGTAGCAAACCTTACCCTTGCCCTGGGAGGGTAGAGAGACTCTGTTTCCAATAGACCCTCGGCTCAAGAAATATGGATGTTGTTCCATTCCCCGAAGAAAAAAGTTCTCTTCTTCTTCAATAAGAGGCAAGACAATAACTTTAACCCCAGAAACCCAAGGTTCAAATTAAGAACCGAATTACGCATCATATGCGTACCTTCCCCCCATTAGGAAAAACTCCCTGAATAAATCCTAAACATTAATCATGGGAAAATATATAATCTTCAAGAACCCAGCAACCAACTAAAATTTTTGAATCAGGGGCGAAATAATTGAAAATAAATGGGAAACTGCAGGTAAATATGTAGACATAACAGAAAGTTTTGATCTTTCTGAAGAAATTGCAATTATTGCCAATAACATAGCAAATTGTATTCTGTTGAGCTAACTCTACACATTTTATCTCAATTACGTAGACAAAGAAATATTGATCGAAACTGTAAGAGAGAAGAAAGACTTACTAGTCATCATCCGTTGAGTAAAAATGAGTATTTTTCGGGAAACATTTTACTCTGTTTCTGAAGAAGAAATATTCTAATCCTTCCTGCTCCTTTTTCTTTTTCTTTTCGTTTCTTCTTTTTTGCATTCCCCTTCCCTCTCGTTGTTTTAGAAAATAGAAATCAAGTAAAACTTGTCTCTAATATAAAAGCGTAAAATGGAAAAAAGTTGTTGTTTTTTTTCTAAAAAAAAAAAGTTGAATTCCATGCTACAGAGTATTATTATAGAGTAAAGTTCTTTCTTTTCCACATAAGAAAATATAATGAAGGTTTGACGGAACAATTATGAAATTCTGAAATCGGATAGTGCCGTTTCATTTTTTGGGTTTTTTTACCAAAACATTTGAACATTCTAAGCTAGCATTTGGATATAGAGTTGATTAAAACTTGAGAAAATAGTTTTTGAATTTGTGTTGAAAAAAGATTTTTGGAAATTGAGGTTGTTTGAGTATATATTTTATTTGAAAATAAAAAATTAAAATTTTGTGCGTGTAGGAAAAAATTTCACCCAAAAACTATCCTAAACCAATTTTAGGGAATTTGAAAAAAAAGAAACTTAAATTTTTAAAAAAACTGATTATATTCCATGAAAAATAATATTTTCAAAAAAATTTGAAAAAAAAAATGCCAAATTTTATGGCAAACATGAGCTAATATTCTATAGAAACTTTGAACATTTGACTTGATTCCTCATTTTTCTTTAGGGGCATCCGATTGGAGGAGAGAGAACTTTCAGAAATGACTATTGTTTAGAGGTTTATTGTGGACGTATTTATAATTTAGTTAATTATGTTCCATAGTTACTAATTTCTTGTCATGGGATGTATGTTGTTGTATTCAATTCGGTTGTATACACTATATTTAATTCGGAAATCTTATATATATGGCATTGTATTACTAAAAAAATAAAGACGAACAAAAATTCGATCATAATCGAGAATACACTATCACATTGTATCCACCAAAATTCAGCCAGACGAACAAAAATTTGGTCGTAATGTGTATTTCATTGTATTTAATTTTGCCACAAGAAATAAAATATTCACGGATATGAGAAATACACTTGGATATGAAAAAACCGATCGGGTGTCCATGGATTCCAGCCAGAGATGATGACAGCGATGGAGGTAATGACGAGGCTGATCTGGATTGAGGAATTTTCATAGCATGTGAGAGAAGAGAGTGTACAAAGGAGAGAAAAAAATAAAAAAGAGGTCGAAAGCCAGTGTCCCGGCGGGTTAGGCCGGCGGTGGTTCTCCGGCGAGATTGTAACACTAGAGAGATAGAGAGTTTAAGAGAGATGGGGAAGCGACTAGGCTATAGTACGAAGATGAAAGAAGGAAGAGTGGAAAAATCCCTTAGAAAGGATATTTGCTATAAAACTCAATATGTAGTTATGTATTATAATTAGTTTAAAGTGTATTTATTTATGATAATATAGTATATAATTTAGTTATACCATATAAAATTCCCTTTAAAAAAAAATCGTCCCTCACTTCAAAACACATCAATTACATTGTTAAACCAATTCCTTTGTTTTTATAAATATAGAAGTAGTGTTGGATTTCATCTCTAATATGACAAAATGTAATTTTGTGGCTAAATATGAAAAGTCTAATATAAATGTAAGGCCCCGTAAAATTTTACCTAAAATCCCGGAATTTCGTGGTGTCTGGATAGGCTTATGTGTTAAAAATTGTAGAGAGCTCGTGGGTTGAACAGTGCGTTGGAAAGCTGAAGGAAAATGTTTGGCAGAATTGGATGTTTCTGCGGCACATTATGCGGCCGCATAATCACTATGCGGGCCGCATAATCACTATGCGGGCCGCATAATCACTATGCGGGCCGCAAAATGGTCGTTGAGTGAGGCAGTCTTTTGGGCCATTTTTGATGTCATTTTTGCGCCCACTATGCAATCGTAAAACCATTTCACGGGCCGCACTCTGATCGCATACCCAGCCTTAAAAATTTTCAAATGGAGGCTCTGCGGCGCATTATGCGACCGCAGAACAAGTTTGCGGGCCGATAACGAGCAAAGTGGGGCAGACCAGCCCAGTTCCGAAGGGCCATTTCTCGGCCCATTTCGCGGACCGTAGAAGCATTATGCGGTTGCATATGCGACCGCAGATCCTATTCCGGGGTTTCATTTTTTGGATTTTCATAACCCGACCCTACTTCGATAAAATAGATACAATGGATCATTTTTTAGTTAAAATCTGATATTTTGAGAGTGAGAGAGTGCCTAGAGGGGTAGAGTGATCCTCAACCAATTGTCCTCCAATTCTTGCTCAAACATTGGAAGATTATCAAGTAAAATTTATTAGGTCTTCATCCTAAAGATAAGATTCGACACCCTAGCCCTTAATTCTGATATTTAACTAAAAATGGATAGTTAGCAAGTTAATTCATGGTTATGGGAGTTGTTCATCTTGCATGCATGTGTTAACAAAGGGTGTAGGAAGACTGTAAGCTAAAAATGATAAAGAATGGGTTGTGGGATGAGGAAATCTTACATAAAAGGGCCTTGAACCCGTAATGCACGCTTAGTGGTTGATAAAATGCTCGAATGAGCTGGAACTATGATCATCTTCCTAATTTTAGTTCAATTTGTTATATTTCTAGAATAGATTGAAGTTGCTAAGAAATTCCGAAATATTTTAGAGTTGATGAAGCTAAATTGAGGTATGTTGGCCAAACCTCCTCTTCTTAGAATTGACTCCCATGGTGTTCATGTAATTTGTGTAAGTCCCAAATTGATCATTATAAAATTGGCTATCCAGGATAAACTTGTGGTGAAAGATATATGTTCAATATATGTTCCATAATGCTTTTATCATGTTATGTTATCACTTGAGAATATGTTCAAAGTATGGACTGTGTGTTATAAATGTTACGACTTCAAGTCAAGTGGAATGAATGTTGTTATGCCAAATAATCTGAAAATCTCTATATGCCTAAGACTACTAATTGCTTGCATGTGTACTTAATGTCTTGAATTAAAAGGCTTTGTTGTTGACATTGATGATGATGTTTGAAAATGAATAAGGTGAATATGAAACATGAAATACGACCAAGTGCCAAGAATGCTATTATAATTGTGGCCACCAGTGCCAATAAATTGAAAAGATGTGAAAGAAGTATGAAGTGAGATGATTTACAGAAAAAGGTAATGTCTCGGGTGAGATGGCCTTGCCGATCAGGCCGTGGTCGGACGCCATGCCGCACACATGGTGGTGACCATGCTGGAAATTGAAAATGGAACTATGACTGTGGTGGATGTCTCAAATGAGACGACCTAGCCGATCGGGTCGTGATCGGACTCCGTGTAAAAGTACGGTGGTATTGTGAATGATGGTATATCGGCATTAAAGATCTCCCAACCTAAAAACATGATAATTTACTTGAAAATTTATGTGGTTCCTAACTTGATATTTTGGTATTGTTTGAGGCTTCTATTGATTTCATGCTTGATTCCCCCCCCCC